TACCTTTTGTATAGCAGCCCTCCTATTTATAAGAGGAAGGAGGCCCAGGAGAATGGGGCCTAGTCAGTCATCCAGTAAGCTCCGTTTCCTAGGGAACAAACCCAGCGTTTTTCTGGTTCCCATCCTCCCTGGGCTCTGGCTTTGTTTGTGGGCTGGCTTGATCAATGCACTTAGCCCACCATTTGGAACTCTTTAATTTTTCAGACAATTGACTTTGGACTTGCAGAGAACACTGCAGCATGGAAGGAGTCAGGGCTGTATTTCAAACCTGTTATTACTTTGTGCAAAGCTGCCCAGCTTGCCCTTCACCCTCCACCAGAGAGTCATAGCGCCAGGAGAGCAGTGGAGACATGGGAATGCCACTTTCCCTGCACCCATTCTTTGTCCTTGAAAAAATAAGACTCAAAAGACCCACACAAATGCTTCTTAGCAAGTGGATTCTGCAAGTGGGTGCCAATTTTATCATCAGTTCATATAGGCTAGAGAAAGACTTAGGATTCCCATTACAAAACTTGCATTAACTAGGTCCCAGATGTGAACTGAAGTGGATAAAGCCCTTTGAATGCAGCAGAAGGACTGGAAGGGCTACCCCTGGACAGGGCACTGGGCCAGGCAAGGTGCCAGAGGCTCTAAGATAAATTTAGAGCAAGTTCCTGCCCTCAAGTAGCTGGCTCTTCTCTTTGAAGCAGACGGCATGGCAGGCTCTACAGCAGTGGTATAAATAAATAGAGGGAGAATAATTCCAGTGGAGGAAAATGAGCAAGGACTTCAAGAGGGGGTTTATATTAGTTAGACTTAAGGGATGGACTTGTTTTTCCTTCCTACAGATAGAAGTAACAGCACAGGAGAGGGAAAGAAATAGGAAGGTCAGGCCTAAAGAGGGATAAGTTTTGGGAACACTAATACTTAGACTGGGCATGAGGAAGGAAGATGAAGTAAAAGATAAGGCCCAGACAGATCTGGAGTGAGAGTGAGTTGACTTGAACACAAAGCTGCAGATTGGAGTTCAGGTAATAAGTCACTTTATTTTCTCGCGGTGCCACCAAGACCTCCTGGTTACAGTAGGTGACTCAGAGGCATGAGGGGGCAAAGTCCCTGAGGGTCAGCCCTCTCCTCTGCCTTTTGTATACCATCTTTCATGTATGGTCTTTCTTTTAAAGATGGCCTAAGAAAAACAGAAACTCACTGGCCTGTGCTGAAGAGTGATTTATTAAGCCAGTCAGTCAACCAGCAACATTTTATTAACTGCCTCCCACTACCTAGCCCTAGCCCTGTGCATGATCCTACTGGAAGCCCATTGAGCATTAAGAATCTAGCTAGAGGCAAGGTAGCAAGAACACTGGGTCAGTGGGTTGTCATCCTGTTCCAACCCCCCACCAGTTATTTGACCTTGGGCAGGTCTCCTGGCTTCCCTGGGTCCAATTTCTCTCCTAGGAAGTACAGAGTTTAGCTGGCTGGTCAGTCCCATAGAGACGTTCTAGGGCTGTGGAAACTAGTGCCATCATCCAGAGCTTATATAGGTGTCAACAGAGTGGGCGGGAGTGGGATGTGGGATGGGGAGGAAGCAGCCTGTTAGGAGGCCACGGCAAGGATGTTTGTGAGGCATCTTAAAGGTCTGATTTGGGGACTGGAGTGATAGCACAGTGGGTAGGGTGTTTGCCTTGTATGTAGCCGACCCAGGTTCGATTCCCAGCATCCCATATGATCCCCTGAGCACCGCCAGGAGTCATTCCTGAGTGCAAAGCCAGGAGTAACCCCTGAGCATCGCCGGGTGTGACCCAAAAAGAAAAAAAAAATAGTCTGATTCAGTCTTTTGCTTGTTCACCAGAGATTTTAACTCTCAGCTTCAGCAGTATGCTTAGCATTGGAAATATAGGACTGACCAAAACAAAGACCTTCCCCTCAGATGCCTTATCTAGGGAGCAGCAAAAGAAATGGGAGCACAGGTGTTAGACCTGGGGCTTTTGCTCAAAACTCATGCCACAGGGTAATTGTGGGTATATGGAAGTATATGAAATGCTAGGAAAAAGAAAGCAAAGAGAAAGCAAAAGTGGTTTGGAGAAAATCTCAGGAACATTCTGCATAAAACCATTTCATGCTTTCCTCCAGGAGAGAAAGCACATTTTTCATCCAAACCACACAACAAGCCTAGCCCCCAAATATCCGATTGACTAAGAAGCTTTGACACTACAGAGGGACTGTCATTCAGGTTCCCCGTTCTCTGTGACTGCGTGTCTCTTGTAGGTGAAGCAGTCACAAATGCCATCTATGATTTTCTTGAACAGCAAGGCTATTTGGTCTTCTCAGCAATTAATTTGTGATATGCAATGATGCTTTCATGGCCACCTACGCGGCTAGTCCCTTAAATCTTTTCCCAGACCAGCTGGCTCCCTTTCTCTCCCCCTCTTTTCCCCTCCTTTACCCCAAGTTATTGGAGTGGATCCAGAAGTAGATTCTGAGAGCTCCAAGATTTTCCTTATTTACTCTCCAGTAATTACATGTCACAGGTTGTCTTCCCTATTAGCATCTGAGGCTGAGCAATTAGTCTCCCATTGTCTTTGCAGGAAATGACATCTGTGTGACTTTTGGTGAAGACAACCATTGGACACTCCAGTTAAAATAATTTGGAAAGTGTTCAGCATTTCCTCTGCCTGGTCAATTAAACTGATTTACAGAACTTCGGGAAATGTGCAAAATGAACAGCAATCTTCAGAAGTACCACCGGGCCAGTTCCTGAACAAAACGTGACTGAACTGTTATTCCCTCACTGCACTGACTTAACTGGACTTTCCTGTGGTCTGAGGCCTGTGGTTCACCATTCTGTTCCTTTTCTCAGGTTTGACTAGGGCTGATGAGTCAGGGTGCTTTGTAATGCAGATCATGGAAAAGCCAACTCAGGGAGGTCTGAATTAGAGCTGTCTTGGCAGTCCTTCTGCAGGCTTCAGGGCTGGATGAATGCAATATCCTCCACTCTGCTTCTCTGTGTTCTTTTCTGCCTTGGCCCGCCTCTCTGAGCTCCATCTTTCAGCTGGACAAAATAGCTATGGAAATTCAAGTAAACCCCATATCACACAACATTTGGGAGGCATTCTTTCCCTATTGCTGGCCCGACTTGGTCACGGACCTATCCTTAAGCCAGTTGCTGGCAAGAGGCCTGGGTTTCCTTTAGATCAGTTCCATCTCAAATCTCTGTGTGCGCACATCACATGGGGATCTTGTGAAACGTTTTGTTTCGGTGAATTTGAGATGTCACCTGGAGGTTGACATTTCTCCAAAGCATCCCGGTAATGCTGTTGTTGCTGCCTGGCTAAGGGAGAGCTCTGGCACTTGCCTCTTATGGACAGAGTGGGGGTGAGGGTAATGGTCCCATGCAGAACTGTCCTAGAGAGACTAGAATTCCCAGTGTGCAATGAGAATGTTCTGAGGAGTCACACAGTGGTTAGGGATTAGAAACAAAACACCCACATGATGTAAGAGCACCTATAAACACCTTATTATGAATGTTGACGTCATAATTCTTGAGACAAACGATGGCGCAGTAATGCTACCTTTTCATTCTTACTCAGTTATTTTTGTTTCTGCTAGGTAGCTCGTTTGACTCAATGGGCATAAATGCAAATGAAATGGATTCAAATCGCCCTATGTACAAAATATGTGTGCCAGGTCCACCTTTGTTCTCTGAGTCGATTTCTCCTCAGTCTTAGTCACCGAGGAGGGAAAGAACCCCCACCCCCAATAGTGTCTTGAGTCACTTGACATAATGTGGGGCATGAAGAATGCTGCCAGGGGAGAGTTCTGCCAAAGCACATGGTCACAATGCCCTGATGTATGGCTTCCAGAGGAGAACATCATTATGTTCTCTTTGTTGGAAAAGAAGTACTATTCTTTTGTTTTCTTGTTTACCTTGCCAGAAGGGCTGACACAGAAGGCCTGATTGCAACTGTTTAGGAAAGATCGAGAAGGGCACTCTGTGAACCACACAGTGGGCCTCCATGGGAAGTAGGAGGCTGGCTGTTGCGGAGGCATCTGAGAGGCCGTATTGGTGGGGTGTGGACTACTCAGAAAGCTTGTCAGAGGGAAGACAGGCTTTCTTCATCTGATTGACTGCCTGCCCTATAACCAGGGGCCTCCCTCGGCTTCCGGGGTCCACAATGAAAACCAGGGCAGCTGGTAACTGTCTCCTTTTACCAGGGTCATGCTGGAGCCCTACTTAGGGAATCACCTGCTTGATCTGCCTGGCTGGGCAGGCTGGAGGGGAGTCAAAGCCACTGGGCACTGGCTAGGAAAAACTGCCTCACTGGAAGCCAAACATGCAGGCAGGAATCACACAAGAGTCCTTTCAGGTGCCCTGTGGGCAGATGAAATGCTTGAACTGCAGTGTCTGTTCCAAGAAATCTGTCTAGCCTCGACAGTCTCCATAGAGGAGAAATAAAAAGAAGGGAATGTTCTGGAGCTGAAGAGATTGTACAGAGGTTAAGGGGCTTGCCTTGCATGCGGCAAGCAACAATATAAAACGTATGCTTTTTAATTCTCACAACTACCCGGTAAAGTTAGGGCAATCATCCCTATTTTTAGGTAATAAAGTAAAATTAAAAAACTAAAGATGAAGGTCTCAAAGCAGTCTGGTGACAGTATTAGGGAAATAAATAGGAAAGATCATTGAATGGAGTAGAAGGAGATTGTGGGTTTCCATTTTCTTATATACTGCATTCTCATCAGTTATTGTAAAGGGTTAAAAGTTCAAATAAAGTATAAGTACTGGTTTTGGTTGATTTCATTGTCCAGATTTTGTTGTTCCTTGTAAGTGCTGAGTGGTTTTGTAAATCAGATTCATCTTCCTGTGAAAACCAGTACATTGGAATCTGGCCAAGAGAGTTTAGTCCATTGATGGGTGCCCCAGACAGGGAATGTCATTTCCACAAAGGAAGCACAATGTCTCTGTATTAAATTACTTCATTTTAATGATGAATTTCTGCTTTTGTTGTGCTGTTGTTTTTCAGGACCAGTCCAGCATCTGTATTAGAAGACATGTGGTGTATATAAAGTTTGTGATCGTTGGGGGAAATTTTGGTAAGTGTCACTGCTTTTGTTTCTAAAATCTTCTGCTTATTGCCCTGATCTTTTCATTTTTTAAATCTGCACTAAACCTAGACTGAAAGAAATTCTATACTTAAGTGTGCCGTTCAGTTGCTATTTTCTGACAATTTTTTCTTGTTATTGCTGATGCTGCTAAACAATATGGATTCTTCTAAGATTTATGAGAAGGCTAGTTTTAATAAAGCTCTGAACACAGAGTAAGGAATACCCTCGATGGTTTAGCTTACATCCAGGCTGCCCATGGAGTACAAGAGTAATAAACTCGTAAACTAAACAAATAAGTCACCAAAGCAGAGGGATTCTTGTGGCCTGTATGGTGAAATTAAAGCAAAACAGGCTGGTAGATACCCCGGGGGAAATGGAAAGTTAAAGGGAGTTAAGAACGCTGCATCCTCAGGAACTCACTCCAAAGTAGCAAATGGGGGTGAGAGACAGAGCATTCAATTCAGCACCTACCCAAAAGTCCATGCTGGCGGACATGAAAAGGACCTGTACTGTACTGTACTGTACTATACTGTACTGTCCTGTACTGTACAGTCCTCCTGTTGTTCATCGATTTGCTCGAGTGGGCCCAGTAACATCTCCATTGTGAGACTTTTTGTTACTGTGTTTGGCATATCAGATACATCACAGGGATCCTGCCAGGCTTTGCCGTGCGAGTGAGATACTCTCAGTAGCTTGCTGGGCTCTCTGAGAGGGGTGGAAGAATCAAACCCGGGTCGCCCCGGTCGGCCGCGTGCAAGGCAAACGCCCTACCCACTGTGCTATTGCTCCAGCCTTGGAGAATCAGGAGGCCTGAGTTAAAATTCAGGTTCTGTGCTTGCTCGAAGTTAAGTTTACCTCCTTTACCTCGTCTATTAAGTAAGGCTTATACCTTCAAGGGTGATTGTGAAAATGAAATGAACTAGGTTGTACTGGGGCCTGGTAGTGCTCAATGAAGCAGTTACTTCTGGTAATGAAACAACCTTGTCTTGGAAACAGGTATTTTCCAATCAAGTAAAGGCTCCAAAAAATGTGTTTTGCTTTGACCAGGAGGTCACACCCGTTTGCTATCATCGTGGCCAGTCCAATCCCTAGCTCACAGTGGAACGCCCCCACCCCAACTCCCCACACCAGATAGGCCGCCTTCCTTGCCCTGGAGACCCATCCTGGACAGGTTGCTAATTTAACTTCCTTTCTGCCACCTCTGTAGTTGAATGCCCTCATACCACTGGAGTTTTGTTCAGTGTTGGAGCTGATGCTATTTTAAACCAACATAACCAGAAGGAAGAGAAGGGTGGAGACTAGATTGTGCCCTTAATTTGGGGCCTTGAGGCTTGGGCCTTAATTACCTCATTTAGGCTTTCATTTCCAAACCTTTTCATTTTTAATTTTTTTGATGAGTGCTTATTATGTAACCTTCACAGAGATCCCGGCATTGTGCTGAAATGTTTGAGCTTGGGTGGAAAGAATTCAGGTCTTCTTTAGTGAGGCCTTTTATCTGTGATTGGAGAAAGGCCTTCCTGTCTTTGCTAATGGGGCTGGCATTTCAGGTCAGACATGACCACAGGGGGAAACACCCGATCCATGAAATCAAAGAAATGAGCATGGCCTCTGGGGGTATCTGGCCCAGTCTTCCCCTGGCCAGAAGAAAACGGAAAGGTTCATCGACAGCAACTCGGACAGGGGAATCTGGATTCTCTCAGATGAGGCACTTGCTACTGCACAAGCAGCTTGCTCCAATTGGAAAAAAACAATTAGAACCCCCAGGAAAATTTTAGTGAATGATCGAATTGTTCCAGACATTGATTATGGTTGGCCAGAGCAATAGAACAGTGGGGAGGGCACTTGCCTTGCAAAAAGCCAACTTGGGTTTGGTCCCTGGCATCCCATATGTCCCTTGAGCCCCACCAAGAGTGACACCCTGAGCAGAGAACTTACTCTGGAGTAAGCCCTGAGCACCACAGGGGGCATGGCCCCCAAAAAACAAAAACACAAAAACCAAAATTGATACAGTGTTACTCATATAACTGTATGCTTTTACAGAAACGCACAGAACTATCTGCTCAAAAGGTTGAATTTTATTATATATTCATTACACCTTAGTTTTTTTCATGGACAAAAGAGCAGGCATTTAAACCAATGAATGTGTAACTCAGATTATTCCAAAGAAAGAGGGAAGAACAGGGCGGAGGGGAATACTTCCTGGCTCTTCACTGAGCTGTAGTAAGTATCTGATTTAGGCTTGGGCATGGGCCCTTCTTCCCCTTCTTCCCATAGTCTCAGGTCCTGCACCGCCTGGCATACAGAATGCCTGCTCATTTGTGCTCCTTTATTGAGTCAGTCCCTGTCCTCAGTCTCTTTCTAAAAGGTCAACGACAAGTCCACTCACTGTCCCATACGCCTGCCAGCCAAGTAGGAAAAGACTCTCCGCACTGTCTCCCAGTCTTTGGTTCCTTGTCATGATGCGATTTTTCGCTCCCTTCCCAGTCATCTGCTCTACCATGACCTTCCAGCATGAAGCTAGAAATGCAGCCCTTAAGGTGGTCTGACTAGAGGAGTATAGGAGACTGCCACTTCTGTACATCACCGCAGCAGACCCCAACCAACCCTACCCTCTGCTTTCATGCTCAGAACTGAGACCCTGATGATGGTCTCATCAGCACACAGAACTGTCCCCCACCCAGACACATGGGGTAATTCATGCTAGACGTGGGCAGTACTGAAGTAGCAAAAGCCAACATAGAATTTAAAATTTTGTTTTGCGTTCTTTGTTTTTGTGGTGCTTGGGGCCAGGATCTAGCACAAAGGAGGCATCCACTCTGCTGCTGAGTTCTCATGTCCCCAGACCCTAAAATTTTGAAAATGTCAGTATGGGGCCTTAGAGATAGTATAGGAGATAAGGCACTTATCTTGCATGTGGCTGACCCTAGTTGGTCCCCAGCACTGCATCCGATCCCCAAAGCACCACCTAGAGATCTCTCCTGAGCATAGAGTCAGAACTATCCCCTGACACCATGAAAAGTGGCAAAGAAGGAAGGAGAGAGGGAAGGAGGGAGGGAGGGAGGGAGGGAGGGAGGGAGGGAGGAGGGAGGGTGAGGGAGGAGGAAGGAAGGAAGGGAAGGAAGGGAAGGAAGGAAGGAAGGAAGGAAGGAAGGAAGGAAGGAAGGAAGGAAGGAAGGAAGGTGGGAGGGTGAGGGAGAAGGGAGGAGGGAGAAAGAAAGGAAGGAGGGAGGGTGAGGGAGAAGGAAGGAAGGAAGGAAGGAAGGAAGGAAGGAAGGAAGGAAGGAAGGAAGGAAGGAAGGAAAAGCTTTAAATGCCTTGGGCCAAGGAGATACTTCAAGTAGATCAGAGTCTAGCATGTCCCTGAACTAGACTTCCATTACATTGAACTTGAGAATGCCTGAGTTCACGCCCAGGTCTGGCAAGACCGCACTGCTCCCTGTCTGCATCAGTGCCAGGTGGATTCGCAGCCAGGGTAGTGCTGCACACCCAGGCTGGCCAGATTGGGATGGCTCCTATAAAAATTTAAGTGTCTGGGAGTGCCACAGATGAACTGCCTGCTTTCCTTGCTGTGGTGGACACTGGTTCAATCTCCTGCACCACGTAGAGTTCCCAGAGCCTCGCCAGAAGTGATCCTTGAGCACAGAGCTAGGAATAAACCCTTAAAACTACTGAGGGTAGCCCAGGAACCCTCCTTCTCCCCGCCCACCCCCTCCCTTACCCCCCAATTTCAATTTGTCTAAAGTCTTTGTTATTTTAAAATTTTATATTTTTACGAGTTTTGACATTTGGTTATATATAAGTATCTGTGATTAGAAAATCCTAAAGAAGTTTGTTCAGAAAATCCCAAAACACTTATGAAGACCATCTTGTATCCTGACCCCTGACTCTGATCAAAAAACTCCCCTAAGGCATGCAAACAGGCAGCTGGGGTCTCAGGGCTTAGACTGAAAGACTTTCTGACCAAATTTAAGAAAGGCTGTTCACATAGGTTATCAGGCAGTTGCAGGAAGGAGGTGATCTCAGATTGGACATCTGAACCTCGGCTTTTTAAAATCTGGGGGCTGGAGAGATAGCACAGTAGGTAGGGCGTTTGCCTTTCACGCAGCTGACCCGGGTTCGATTCCCAGCATCCTATTTGGTCTCCTGAGTACTGCCAGGAGTAACTCCTAAGTGCAGAGCCAGGAATAACCCCTGTGCATCGCTGGGTGTGACCCAAAAAGCAAATAAATAAATAAATAAAATCTGTTTACCTTCCAGTGACCTCAGAAATGAAATGGTCTTTCAGTTGGGCTAGTCCTTCCTCTTGACAGGATAGTGCTTCTGGTGTGACGACAATGGGCGCAGGGAGGAAAGGGCTCTCCTGCGATCACTGAGACTAGGTGTCGTGGGACACGGGCTGGACTGTTTATTGGCATAAATTTCCAAGTGACACCACCAGCTCAGTTAAACGTAAGCTGTGGAGAAGTTTTGTAGCCCAATATGGCTACATCTGTTGTCAGGAGATTAAAGCAGCATATGTCAGGCTCGAGATAGGACCATCCACTTGAGAAGACTTTAATTATAGGGCCTATTTTGGGAGGGGAGCTGTGCTTTTGGTGAGGTATATTTTGATATTCGTTAACCCAGCTTCATGGCCAGTAATATCTTCCCAGAAAGGGTGTGGTGTGTGCTTGTGGACATAAATATTTCCTTACTGAAGGCTTTAGTATAATAGTCATTGGCTTTCCTTCCCCTTCATTTCTCTTTTTTCTGATAATCTTTCCCTCCTGCAAGAATGCCGTGAAACTGTGTTCTGAAAAGCCGGAAAAGACAGGGATAAAGAGATCTCATTTCAGATGGCTAAGCTTAGAGATTTAGGGCCTTGAGCATTATCTGTCTGTTCTTTTTTAAGATGAATAAAATTTGGAACAATGAACCAAAGCAAGAATTGTAAGCAGAGTTGAGTGAGATTGTAAAACACTGTGTTTGGTGGGAATATCACAGCTCTC